TGTAGAAACCTTCTTAACAACTATGGATGGAGATGGTCTAGTAATAGAAATTATAATAGAAACAGAACGGTAGGCTACGGAACATACCAAATACGTGGTAAACCATTTAAATAAAAAAAAAGCCATTGTTTGGACACGGACTTAAGAGAATATGATTCCTTTTTCTTTTAGTATTCTCCATTAAAAACACTTGTTAATTATTCGTTTTGTCGTAGCAATTGACATTAGTTAATTTACCACACAAAAGTGTAGATATTCCGATCACAGGAATATAAACCTACATAAATACAGCACCACCATTCTATTGATCCTTGAACGTCTAAAAAAACTTTGGTAGTTAAATTACTAAAAGACGTACATAGTACTTGATAATGATGCTTTTCAATTAAAAAATCTTTCAAAACCATTCCTTCAAAGAGATAATAATGTTATCAAAACAAAACACAATAACAATAGGATTGAACACAATATATGTCCTTTGACTATTGTCTATATTTAAATTAAGTCATTTGACTATGGTTTATAGGGACATTGTTTATACACGCAAGGTATTATCAATTCGTCAACAAAACATTTTCTTGGGGAAGCAGCAAAGATATAAAAAGTCTTTATAAATAAATCAAAAGGGAAACAAAGCATGAAACTTTCATTTCTCCTATACATTTTTTTTTAAATTTATAATTAGTTTTCTTATTTGCTTTTTTTGCCTCACCTTTGAAGATTCTTTGCTATAGCCAATTGACCATTACACGCTTTGTTCTTTTCCTCAATACTTTCATCTTCTTCAGTGACAGGCCTACCAAAAATTAGAAGCATTCAGAGGGGCAAAACCGTAATCCAACGAAAGAAAAACCTGAACTAATAGTGCCTCTTATTCAAACCCTAGTTTGTCCCATGTAACATGTCCACATTCTCCAAAGATGCTCGAAAAAGGGCTCTTTAGTAATTTAACTCCTCGTGACATATCTGCCACACTTGTTTTTCTATGAGCAGGTGTCCCGTTTTTTTGTCAAAGGCTGAAACAATCTTTGATGCGATGTTCTCCAACAACATCTTTATCATGTCATAATTAGATTAAAGTGTGTGGAAATTTGAG